ACATATCAATTCCATATTGTTAGCTGTATTAGAAAATCCAATTTCAGATAGCAAATACGTTTAACACGTTCGCTACTAGCGTTTATTTCGGTGACGGTCTCCTCAATTATAATATTTTCTTCAATTCAATAAGTCTTCTACACAAAACATTAGAAAAATGAGACTGAAACGAGTTAATGAGTTCCTAAGTATAATGTGGTAGTTTGTAATTTGTAATAATAACATCTATAGGATTAATTTCATTTTCATTATGTAAAATATAGGATTGCAGCCGTCACAAATATGTGACGCTGGTAGCGAACGTGTTAACATGGTCACACCGACGTTTTTTCCATGTTTTACATTAGCTTTGCATTTACCACCAGTGTTACATGCCGGCGTGAACTTATTAACCGTCTGTAAGCCAGTGTGACTTTGATGTCACACATCAATATATTAACATCTTGTCGATTAATTAAATTTTTTACTGCAAAGTAACAAATGAGATTAACACGTTCGATACCAGTGTCACATATAATATGTGACGGCCGCAATTCTATATTTTATATAAAAAAAAAATGAAATTAATCCTATAGATATAGTTAGTTAAAGTTATAAGCTACAAAATTACATTTTGGGATTCAATGACTCGTTTGAGCTTCATTTGTTTCAATAGTTTGTTCAGAAGATTTATTGAATTTAATAAAATATTATAATTGAGAGGATCGCCACTGAAACAAATGCTGGTAGCGAACGTGTTAAGTAATTAATCAACTCAAACTTTTACACACGCAAGCGTAAACGTATAATGTACTCAATAGTTGTAATAATTTTATAAAACCGAATATATTTTGTAACTTTAAGGTTACAACAACGTTAAAAATTTCATATTTCATAAATTCTTTTATAGTTTCGAGAAAAAAATCGTCTTGTAGAGGGATAAGAAATCTCAGTTTAGCAATAACTACAATACTAACTTAATACGATGACACGTTGATTCTCTATTTTCACTTCTTGTCCTTAACACGTCAACTGCCATGAGAATTCTGACCATTTTGTACATTATTACTTATTCTTTCGTAACAATGACAAATGATATTAAAAATAATTATTACCAACTTATTATCAAAGTGCTAATGTTACACTATTACCTAATTACTTATGTTACTAAATACTTTTGCTCGACATCAATTTTATTATTGTAATTGCATTCAAGCAATTTGGAAGCTCCGGTCATTGATGATCACCGTGGCAGTCAACGTGTTAATTTCTTCGCTTGAATCCTAAAGAAACACCTTTAAAAATATATCTAAAGATAATAAAATTCTATTTCGTCAACTTCAAATATCAACTTGGCCATGTTCGTACGAAGCAAAATAAGAGGGGTTAGAAGTAAAACAAATTTAATACGATTCATATGTAATCCCTACAAAAATTGTAATAATAGATTGTTTTTAGTTTCTTCAGACATTCAATATAGTATTCAAATGAAACTATTTATTTTCAGATTCATTTCGAGTATTAAATACTTTGAAAATATAAATAATTGCGAAACAAAAGAACCGAAACCAGTCATTTTGACTAGTACGTAGTTCTAGTGTTAAGGCAGAAATTTTCAACGTATTACCATTCTAACGTTTTATCTACCATTTTTCTTAGTTTTTTTAATGTCTCCTTGCTTACTGTCAGGGTGCTTTATACGTAGTCTAGATATTTTTCGAGCCATAGTATCCTGGAAATTTTATTCGATTTGATTTATGATCTATATTTTCTAATGACCTCATACTAACGAAGTAGCTGACTGGAGTTCAGACAGATCTATTATCGTGATTAATCGTTTAATACGTTTATTTACATTTTACTTAAATGTACTCAAGAACTTCTGTTTTGTCATGCTATATTTATTGCTACCGTTATCTTCAACGATGTCCTATATACCTCTGATAAACTTAAATTCTAATTAATCCATGAGATAATCGAATTTAGTATCTTCGCATGATATATTAATGATACCGAATTGGACTTCCGCTTGGCAGAACCATATTTTTTATTTCTTTTTATTTTATTATATTTTCAGCTGTTTAAAACGGAAGCATTTCGATATTGATCTTACTAGCTTTCAATTTGTCGATCGGTTCATTGTTTTCATTATTCGTTTTTAACCCTTTGCACTCGGAAGATGACTCTCAGTCATCGCTTGATCTGACGCAGTAAAACTATAAAATCTGATATTTAATGTTTAACTTTGTGTAATGCCTCGATACGTGAAATATTGGAATAAAATAGCTTTGTTCCTCAATGTATTTGTAATTTCCCTTCGTGTTAGTTTCAAGGAATATAATCTTTGTTTTGTTGCAAAATTTTAAATAGTTTTAGTAAGAAACTTCCGAGTGCAAAGGGTTCATTTCCGCTTGATTTTCAATTTTCGATAACAGTAGAATGTTTATTTCACTTATTATTAAAGTTTACGATCTAGTTGTAGCTCACGCAAACTTTTATTTCGTTTTTTTTTAACTCTCCACGTGCGTGCTACGTTTTTCGCTTCTGTCAAGCTTCTTTTGTTTATTTTTCGCGCCTTATTCCATTAATCACCGCCATCTACCATTATTGTTCTACATTCGTGGGTTACTCCTTATTTTAACATTCGTCGATGCCTACAGATCCATTTTTGAAATTATTTATTTCAATAAAAAAATATCAAACCTGTATATACATCAGACGAATAAGGAAAAAATACGAAATACTATTGTAATTTTATTCCACGTTATGCCAGAAAATAAGATAAAAAAAACTTTCTTTGCAAAATTTTAGACCTTATTATTCGAATTACGAGAATTTCTATTCAGCAGGATTTGATACATTTTTGAAAATACAGCCGATACAAATTTCGATAAAATGCAACTGATCGTGATATGACGTTTCTGTAAGTACCTTTATAATTTTGACAAACTCTGCTGAAGCGATAAAATACTTTCGACGCTGTCGGTAATACAGAACCGTAGACCAAACTGACTTGTAGCTCCGACACAATGACATAGCTGGCGCTACAGGTCTTTTCAAGCAGTTTCCGTAAAGCGTAGTGGAAACTGAAAGTCAAATTTAAGATTACGGAATGTCCATAATTACACTCGCATCATTGACACGTATAAAAAATTCTAGTTCCGTCGATACGAAGAATGAACTATGACGTACACACCTCGTAACGTGTTCTGCGCAAGATTCAAGAACTACCCGCGGATTGACGACGGATAAGGACAGGGGAACTGATATCTCTAAAGAGGCGACGATGGATTATCAGTAGGAACAGAAGAATGATCTGAACCCAATATAAAATATACCCTATTGTAAACAGCATAATAACTCGTTAATCAGTATCTCGGTTTTACTTTCCCAAGTTGCGTCATCGTTATTTCGCGAGTTAATACAAAAGACAAAATCCGCGTATCGAGCAAACGTCCCATCGAACGAGAAGATTATGCGTGACGAGGTTGTTTATGCGTATACTCGAATACAGACTTTTTTCCATCGAAAAATCCCGATTGGATAGGTGCTGATATACGATGAGCGATAGGGATGACGACGGCGACGGTCGGGGCGACGGTCGGGGCGACGGTCGGAGCGACGGCATCAGCGACGACGACAGCGACGAGTGAGAGCGAGCAAACCTCCACAAACTTCAATGTGTGTGACATCACGCTTCATTGTTGGAGGTTTACGTCATTCTCGAGTCTGGCTTGAGTTGGTGCGCGCGATCTAAAGTAGCCTACAGAGACGCGTGCGGATCAGTGGCGGGAAGTGACAGAGAGACGAGAGTGGCGAAAAACACGCGAATCACCGCTCGCGGCTGCGCAAAACGCGTTGGGCATGTCGTTTCACGTCGATGCGAATTACTATTGTTTTCCTGATCACGGATCTCGGCTTTAACATGAAATACATCCGGCGAAAATCGAGCACCCACGGGGAATCGATAAAAAATTAGCGTTAAGAGAGAAAAGGAGGAACGGCAACGCATCGACGGAGGAAAGAGAGTGGTGGTGGCCAACCGTAAGGTACACGAGGAAGAGAGAGGAGAGAGGCGCGCGGTCGAGCGAGGAGGAGAGCGTGCAGGAGGCAGACAAGGAGAAGGATACGAAGCGCGACGTTTAACGGTGGCAGCGCTGATTTGTGATTTCATCGGTGGTTACCGATTTCGAGGGAACAAACTCGATGTGGATCGGGCACGGTACGCGGCCGGGCACACGCACACGCTTTCGAACGAAAGGGTACGTTTCGCGCGCGGTTAGGACGCGCGCGGTGTCACTGGTGTGTCGGGGAGGGTTCTCACGAATATGTAATTTATTTGTGATCCGTACGTAACAGTGGCTCTTCGACGACGCGTTCTTACATTTTAAATATAACGGTGTATAAATAAGTATGAGCAATAGCGGGAGTGCACCGACAACAGAGTACTCGCCGTTCATTTTTCCAAAGAATTTGCGTTCCGTCGACGCGTTTTCTCGTCACCGCTGAAACTGTTTGTACGAATGCACGTCAGATGCGGCCAGATTCGATGGTTTCGTCGTCAAACTTTACCACATATGTTTTTCATGCGTGGGCATGCAGCACCGAACTATCGTCAAGGTTAGTGTGTCTGACAGGCTCTCTGCATCACTACGCGGTCTTACACTCGTTTTCAGTGGGTAGCACCGACCAGTTGGCGATAGGTAATTAAACAAGCCGTTCGAACGGATGTGTATCTGTCAAGAACTGCTGTAGAATGAACGGGGCACGGGCACAGTTCCTCTCTGTTTTCCTGCTCGTTTCAGGGGGTTTTTTTTAACGATGCTGGACAATCATGGACGGTTATGATTTTCTGTCTTTCAGAGTTCCTTTTTTAATCTGTCGTTCTTTTTAGTTTCAATTTATCCGTTTCTGGCGATTGTAATATGGATAGGAGTATTAGTGATACGATACTTAACAATATTTCTATTTTGATTTTATTCCGTTAGTTTTATCATATCTGGTATGTATGTTTTGTTTGAAACAGGAAAGTTCAAAATTGTCCCCTGCTGGACAATTAAGGATAGGTATATTGGATCAGAATAAGCTTCTTCTATCGTTTATACCTCTCTGAACAATGAGGCTTCTTCGTACACACATGGAAGAACACGCGAACGAATGTCAACAAATTTTATGTGAGTATTACGGTTGAGCCAAAGTATTATGGATCATCGAATAAGAATAGTTTCAAGCTAAATATATGCCTGTTTCAGGGATAAAACTTGCACGTAATGCTGTTGCTTGTAAATTGGATGCAAACCTGCGAAGAATGCCAAGTTACTGAAGATTGCACCTTCATTGGTTCTGATATTTATATAATGCTCCAAGAATTTTACATGTTGATTGAACTGGCACGCTTGTGCAAGAAAGGGTAATTAAATTATGTTTTCTATGAGATGTTACAGTTACAGCATAGTTATCGGTTGTAACATTTATGCAAAGTTAATTTTGTAATTGTTTTGAATCATATGACAGAAAAGATATGTGTGTTATAGGTTCGAAGCGACAAATACCTGGTTATAATCGCATCTGAAACATTTTGTCGACAATGCAGCGTAGCGTGCTTTTCCTTGTTGCAAAAGGATTTGATATTTGGAAGTATGTTTAGTTATTAGATATTTCGATACGTTAAATTAATTCGCGATACGATTTTGTTACCACACTCCAACGATTGACAAAACTAAAGTCAACTTAACTAAGGTTAGGTATGAAAATGATAAACAACCGAATGTATCGAATCCTCTTGCAATCTAGCTGTACACGTAATCAGTACATAGTTTGAGTGTGATAATACTGCTTGAAATTACATGAAAACATCTCGGTCAATTGTATTTAACGCGATTTTATTTCAGAACAACCGTTCCTATGAGCGCTTCTCGTCCGTTAAACTGTGATGGGAAAGATAATAACAAGAAGAACGGTTCCAGTGAGTTTACTATTTAATACACCCGTATATCGTTTTCAATTTTACAAAGTTACAGTTTCATATCGTATGATTTCCAGAGAGAATGGCATATGAGGTATTTCTGGGTGGATCCTGTAATCCAACTACATGGAGATCAGAAATAGCGATACCGACTCTACAGAGCCTCGGCATTACTTATTACAACCCCGTATGTGTTTTGTCTCACAATTAGTTTTCAACAGCTTCCTTTTTCTATATGAATCGCTAAAGTAACAGTCGGAACCTGTTGGCACTTTACGTTATGCGTTTCAGCAAGTGTCGCAATGGGGACCAGAACTGATAGCTCAAGAGTACGAAGCGAAACAGACGGCGAAAGTATTACTCTTCGTAATAGATAATCAAACGCGCAACAGCGCGGGCATCATTGAAGCAGCACAGTTAGCAGCTACTCGTCGCGAGTCTTTAATCCTCGTCATTTATCCATACCGTCAGGGTCAAACGATACTCGGCGAGCCTATATCCATTCAGTAAGTAATGCGTTCTGCTTTGTGTTGCCGTCGAACGCCGACGATGCATGCTTGACAAACAACAAACACCACACGCCTTGTTTAGGGAATTTTACGACTTGATGAATGGTCTGTTGGTACTACAGTACCTTATGGAGAGACAAAGGATACCGATATTCGAGAGCGTGTCGGTCGCTCTTAATTGTACGTCCAAGGTAATTTGAACCGATGAGAAGTAAAATAGCGAATAAACGTATTGTTGTCCGTTTTCATACAATTCGTTATCACCAACGTTGTCTCAAGTACTATTGCTCCGTAGGTTCTACGCGAAGAGATGAAAGTACAAGATCTGCATTCCGAAGATAGTAGCAGACCAATCAAAATTTCACTCAGCCAAAATGGAATGGACTCCGTGTAAGGCTTTTTTATTGTCAGTATATGCAATCAGTCTGCTCCAGTAAATACATCCACTTTGCGTACAAGAAGAGGCGTCTACATTCACGTTATCATTAATTCTATTAATTTACTCTTTTGTAGTATGCTCAGAGACATTTTCAAATCCATGGATGTTAACGACAGCGGTAGTGTTAATTTAGCCGAAGTAAGTTTTTAGTTTGTTATCATAATTGTCATTGTTACCGTTTCAAGTAAAAGCAAGACAGTTGTTTCGAAAGGTATATTATATTTGATTCTTTTTATCCGTAGGCTTGGCTGGCGTTACAGTCAAATGTCAAATGCAACATGTCAGTTTCGGACCTGCTGAATGTGGTAAATAAGTCGGGTAATAAATTCCTACTTGATTTTCTTAATAGCAAAGACTACTTCTATAGAATTGTCGCTCGGGGTACGATTAAATGCGAACCAATTGTAATCGCGAAGTTTTCCATCTTCCGTATTCGCATGTGCTTTTAGAAACGTACAGGACGTTGATAGACGACGGGTTTCCATTGAAGAAAGATCCAAGGGAATTACGGATAAATTTCGATCAGTTCTGCGCCCTAGCTGCGGAAACGGCGTGGAGGACGAAGAGCAACGGCGTTTCTTGTGAAAGTGAGATATCTTCAGTTTGGAGTATAATATGTAGGAAGGCCTCGAAATTTCTTCGCAGGGCTATCGTACAACCTTTTAGCCGCTTCCTAGGTATTTTCTATTCTCAAACGTTTCCAGTCACCGCGGTAGTGCACACGTGAACGATTAGC